TTAAATATACAAAATCCAATATTCATTTACTTATAAATAACACGTTTTTAGTCAAAATAACTGAAAAACATAGACTATCAATCATTTAAAACGTGTAGGAGAGATTTCTTGCTATCGACTAGGTCAAAAAAAAATCGTGTTATTGACTAGGTCTTATTTTGAGGGGAGGGCTTATATTGAAATCATTTTTAAAATTCAGGGCTATGCTAGGTCTTATTTTCGAGGAAACACGGTGCAAGAATGTATATCGGCTTGTTGCAGTTGACGGGGGGTCGCGAAAGACTCTAGTAGAGTCTTCCAGAGAAAGTCATCTAGTAGAATTTAATTCATGAAATAAAATAGGGAGTCCGTTCCCAGAAAGACGTTTATTACACGCAAAGGAATCTTGTTGAAAACTAAATACATATGTGGATTTTGATTTTATGTTGCTATCATAAAGGATGCCAAAATATAAAAATAAAATTGACGCGGAACAGCGGCAGGTCTCTCGCGGAACACGGGTTGAAAATCACTGGTGTAGATCAGGGTTTCTCAAACTTTTGGTGTTGCGGAGCCCTTGAAAGGTTAAATATTATTTGCGGAGCCCCAAAATAAATGTTAAAATTGTTACTTTTAGAATAATATTCCTGAGCAAGTTAAAAGTACTTTACTTATTTTAAATGCTGAACCTTTTTTTAATAGGGTCAACACAAGTCATAAATAAATCTAAAATTCAAACATAAATTATATATACTAAAGATGTAAATTTGACACTTGACAAACATATTGATAAATTAGGAGGCGAATCTTTTCCTTATTGACATTTTTAGAAGACTTAAGCCGCTAATGACGTGCGCAATTTCATTTTGTTACAATCGCCGATTTTTTCGTCAGCATGGCGTGTTTTTGAACCTTCAAACATCTTTACGCCGGTGTTAATTCTCCCTAAATCAAAAATTTCCCTCGGCATACGCATGTATTGTTACACAATGACAACGTTAATTGCTTTTTTTGTTCTCGTGGGGAATTATGAGTTCAATGTGTAAAACATGTTACCATATTATAGTCATCGGCGATGAAATGCTAAAATTAATAATTAATGAAGAGGTAAATCCGCAACTCGAATTTCTTGATTGAAAAACGGCATTCTAAAATAATAAAACTGAAACTTAAAATGGAAGACCACACGTTTGAGCAGACTCAGATTGAAAACGCTTTCATAGACATCGTAAATCACAAAATTTGTTGTTATGTTAGGTTTTCATCGTAGTATTGAGCAATCAATTGTGCGCGCGATCCGTGATGTACTTTTTTTCATTCTGAAACTACCGACGGAGCCGGATGCAATATAATAAATTTTCAATTGTTCGTATTTTGCCAGACATTGTGATTTTTAAACGGCGATATCTTGCTTAAAAATAATCTCAAGTGCAAAAGAACAAATCAAGTTTGACAAATCCCAAGATCGCGAAAATACGACTCCAATTTATTTATAGTTAGCAGTTTATCACATATTCTATGTTATTTTAGAATAGTATTCTTTCATTTTAGTAATCCTAATAGTAATCTCGAACCAAACGTGAGTAACGATGAGCACAATTACATTATAACGACAAGACACGTTAAATGTTCGTATCGATCATGGATTGAATATTTTACGCAACAGAAATCTCGCTATCCGTTTTTTAGTCGTGAAGAATGTTGCGCGCAAATTTCCGATTCCAATTTTGAACCACCTCCCTCTTAAAAATTCTGGCTGCGCTCCTGCTTATAAATAATGTCATTTTTTAATTCCGCCTCTTTACCATATTTCAAGGCAATATTGTTGTCAGATTTTATCAAAGCTGTTATTGCTTCTTTGAACAGTTACAAAATTTTGAGTCAGTATTTTGAAGAGTAATCGAATAGCTTGCGGAGCCCCCGGGTTTTTTCTCGCGGAGCCCTGGGGCTCCGTACGGAGCACTTAGAGAACCTATGGTGTAGATGAATATGAACTCTATGCGCGGGATTTCGCACTTATGCGGTAACGAGGAAATAATGGAATGGCCATTTAAATGAATAATGTGCGAACTCGAGTCTAAAGTATAGCTAGGTTAACCTATGTGCGACAACTATAGACTTAAAATCAGCAGAGTTTTATTATAAGGTGAAATTTTCATATTTATCCCGGGGGAGAGCAGATGCGATAACACGGTTAATCATATGGCGAACCACAGTTCATCGTTGGTTAGTATCAGTCCCTGTGCGGAGAGTGGAAATTGTAATAAATAACCAAATTATCATTCAAGATGCAGGCAATCTTTTTCTGCATGTAACTGACCGGCATAACGTGAACGCCCACCCGCGATACGAAGCAAGTGATACAATTGTTTGCTGTGATATTTTGTCGATAACTTATGTGTTCTGCGCAAAATTCTTTTCTATAGTTCAGGAGTTGCCAACATGCCAATCGCGATCGACGGGTCGATCGTCACGTCTCGAGTAGTCGATCGCGTCTGATGTTGAGTGAATTTAATATAATACCTCAAAAAATTGCCTTGAACCAGTTTCATGCAGCGCATGTAGTGTGTTTTAAAACAACAATAATACTGTAGTACTAATAGGACGGTGCATGCGAAAAATACGATATACACATAGTATTCGAGTCTGGGCAAGGCCGATAGAGCTTATTATTACGTAACAAATGCAAGTTTCGCCGATGCTATGGTTTACATTAGAATTTAGATTTAGAAATTAACCTAATTAAGTGGAATCTAAATAATACAAGTTATTGTGGCAGCGGCAGAATTATTTGTTTGCGTTTGTGAAGTTATCTGCATCTTCAGTACTCATTCGTTTTTCGTGTTTGAGCTTATTACCGATCAGTCGATCGCGAGCTATTTTAAAGATTTTAGTCGATCGCGGTCGCAAGCAGTTTGGCCACCCCTGTATAGTTTATTAACTTTTGTCTTTGTATTTTGTTACATGCTTTTTCCAAATTAAGGATGCTAAGTATGACTACTAACAAGTATTCGATTCTTATCCGGTTCCTAAATTTTCGATTCCGATTCTCGATTCCTCGACATATCTTGCCGAGAAAATATACCCATTTAAACTATACTATATGAAATCGAGAGCTATGTTCAAATATTTGGAAGGACAAGAAGGCCAAAACTGAGTAGTATGGGTATCCAATCTGTCACAGTAGACAAAATCGCACAAAAAAAAACGAATCAGTAAGGACCCACAGAGACTTTTGAAATAAATAAATATATATACAATATATATATATATATAGTGAAGTTTGCGATGTCGAAGAAACTCAGCATAGCAGTAAAGCAGTTTAGACATATATGTGAAGGACTTGCCATAAAACGTTACACATTGTTTGCAATCCAAGTTTCAACCCTAATAATCGATTCCAATGAATCGGAATCGATTCTAGTCGATTCCGCGAAGAATCGATTCTGTAATCGAATCCAGACTCGATTCCGCCATCCCTATTCTAAATTGCCTCTGTTGTAAATCTTTTTTCGATTATTTAACATATTTACCATCACGACTATTGCAGTTAATAGCTGTAACTATCATATATATGAAGTTACTCTTTATACTAAACCTGTAACCGTCGGTGCTTCAAGACATCGCAAGGTCTCCCGCGACTCCTGTCACACAAATGGCGTTATTTGTACATTTATTTGATGTATAAATGTCGGAAGTATTCGTACCAAGATGATGTACAACCTGAACAACCCTAACCTGGTATACACACTATGTTCAGGTTGTGCGCCATCTTGGTACGAATACTTCGGGAGCACCCAAATTCCTGAGTACTTATTTGTGATGATAAATAAACGAATGTTGGTCCTACCAGACGTTCATTGCTGAAGATGCCGCATGGAAAAAAACGCGAGGTACAGTTTATCGGCTGAATTTGCCTTTGGAATGAAAAATACCGTGTTTCCCCGAAAATAAAACAGTGTCTTACTTCAATTTCTTTGAGGGGAGGGATATCTTTTATTTTCATTTATTAAAAACACAATTACTAAGTGGAGAATTACGAGATTTTCGAATATAAAAAGTATGGAAGTTTTTATTTAAAATAATTGCTAAAAATAGAATATTAATCCTTAAAAATGGGTAGGAAAGATTTTTTGCTATCAACCTTAGGTTAAAAATTTTTTCAGGTCGGGCCACGGAGAGGTCCGCACAGACCAAAAAAACATTTTAGGATGATTGTACAATGATGTGTACACGGACCGTCGACAGTCAGAAGTATGTACCCAAGCTTTTTACAAGACGACCCCAAAAACAACTTTCAAATGTCCAGTGCGACCCCAGATCAATATATATATTTTTCAATAAATTTTGGAGCTTCTTCACTGGACTTTCGAGGTTTGTCATGTGATGGTATTAAGTAAAATAAGCTAAAGCCAAACAGTGATGTCACAATAAGCATCTACATTTTTTATAGCGTAAGCATAGATCGATGCCTATGTGCCTGTTTTACAGTAAGCCATGGTACAAACTGCTAAATTTAACATTGTTTTCTCAAATCTTTTTTGTTTTCTCAAATAGATGTTTTGTACATCTATCCTCTGACATACCTCAGCGACCCCATGAACTGTTTGCGACCCGAACTACTTATCACTCCGACCCAATTTGGGGGTCGCGACCCCTGGTTTGGGAACCCTTGTGCCCTGTAATCAGTAATCAGTAATTTATTTTTTCACCAAACAGAAAAAAACACTTCATGCAAATAAATATGAAAAAGGAATTTAAATACGGCATGTACTAGATCGTAAATATATGCTACTAGACTAGTGTCATGTATTTATCGTGTAAGTATAGCTTTAGCTTGTCCAGCACCAAAAACGATTATCTATTCAGTCAAAGAGCATGGTCATTTTATAAATTCGAATAAATTATCATCTGTATCATCTTCGAAGCATCACAGGACAACAGCAACATTTAACATCTTGAAATATCACTGCTCTTTAGTCTCACCTTACGGAAAGATTTCGCGAAGAAATCCTCGATAGACGTTTTGCGAAACGCGTCGATAATGTGCAGCTGCTCGCTTGCTGCAAATTACTTTCGCGCAAGCGGAGCGTTAGGAAGGTTGTTTTATAAATATCATAGTTTATAGACGTACTTGCGCTGCTTGTAGGAGACTTGGCGACACACAGAATGGGGGTCGAAATTGAGACCATCAAACCCGGAGACGGTAAGATATTTCATTTGAAATTCTACGTAAGCTTCATAAGCTCTCTAGTTCATTACCGTACCGGAATGTCTCCATACTACTGTACTACGATGCTGCCATAACTAAACTTATACCATGCCGGTATGAAAAGCTTGTAATAAAAAAATAAAACACAATCGTTTAAAAACCTGAAGTTCTGAATAAATGAGAGATTGAAAATACATAGGGATTCATTTATATCAGTGGAAACTTTGTATCATTCACTTTTAGTCCATTTAGGTTTGTGAAAATGCCACAATTGGACTCTATCCAGTTACCAATAGGCTGAAATGTGTTTTTTAATGAGTTCAATTCAGTAACTAATTTATTACAGGTAAATCATATCCGAAGAAAGGCCAAAAAGTCAATGTTCATTACACAGGTAAACCATGGTACTTTTCAAATGATATACTCTTCAAAATTTAATAACCTGTATAGCGTTCCAAGTTGTCAGCTTTGAAAACTCGCTTCAAAGATGAGACATTCACAAAACAAGAAAATGGTTCTGAACACTGTGCTTTCGTCATAGTTATGCTTCAATTTATTCTGAAAATTTTTCCATGAAATTTCCACCAAACAAGGCAGTATCTCCGCTTTGGTTGGCAGTAATTTTAATTTTGAAACATGGGGTTTAAATTGCCTTCTATTACCTTTGATAAGCTTTATTGAAAATCTCTTACATGGAGTGATATTTGATTGTGATACAGTATATTTGAAAAAAGATTGTAAGGTTGCCTAATCAATTTATAAACTCAGATGCATGGCTTGTGGATGGAGTTGTAACGAGCCTCGCTTCGACAAGATTTGTCTAAATTTAAAATCTACTTTTTAGGCACTTTCACAAATGGACAAAAGTTCGATTCATCAAGAGATCGAGGACAACCTTTATCTTTCCGGATTGGTCATGGGGAAGTTATCCATGGATGGGAAGAAGGAATCTTAAAGGTAGTTTTAACTTTACGTAATTGCTCTGCTTTTACAGAGAGTACTAGGATAGGAATATCATATTTATTATCCTGGGGTAGCGGGAAACCTATAGGGCGGCTTAATCGTATGGCAAACCACAGTCTCTCGTTCATTTACCAGTCTATGTCTGGTATGAGATTAGTTAGCCAGTTACTTGTTCCAAATCCATGGACTTGATGGTGGAGAAAGCAGTAACTCAACTGCGACTATGTGAAGCACCCTTAATATAAATTCTTTATATTTGAAGTAATTTGGTTACATTAAGAGCAATTGGAGTCTCACAGTACTAACGAAGAAACATTCAGTAATTTCTTGAAACTGTAAATAATCAAATCGTTGAATGCAATTGTTTTTCTCACACAAGATTTTAAAATTTCTTGTTCAGATGAGCATTGGTCAAAGAGCAAAGCTGATCTGTGGGTCTGACTCAGCATATGGTGAATCAGGTTATCCAGGGGTGATTCCACCAAATTGTACCCTGCTGTTCGATTTGGAATTATTAAGCATTGGTTAACTACTATTATTAAGCTAAAAAGAGACATTGATGCATGCAAGTTGTAATATCTGTATCTGAAGTGATAGATATTCTAGAATTCTCTTTTGCAACTACTCCTGGTTCCAAATAGTCCACTTATGCAGATCAAATTTGTCTGCATGAGTACAAAAATTCTCCAGATCAGGTTATCCAAGATTTTGAAGTTACTTCCTTTGACATCTTCAAACAGGGACTTCACCCATTTTGTGTTTGATTTTTTGTTCTAAGTGTTCTGTTGATTTTTATTACAAATCATCCAAGCCTACTTCGTATACTAATTAACTTCTCAATATACCTTGTGTTATTATATACTCCCACTATGTTTTAAAATACTTTTCTTAATGTGTTGAGAATCTTCCAACTTCCAAGACTTTTCACTCCAAACGAAGAGCCATTACATACCTATGTACAGGGGCGCAGCCAGGATTTTCGAAAGGAGGGTTTCGAAATTGGAATTTCCCATTCACTTCTGAGTCGGTCGCTGCGATTATGTGCTCGTTAAAAAAGTCGTATTTTTTGAATCTTAATCACTTTTCTTTTCGCGTACAATATATTCAATGTTGAGGATATATTTGATTTAATAAGAAGAACAAACACCAGCGTAAAAAAATTTAAGGCCTAAATAACATATCACACTGGCGAAAGCAAAATGCAATCGCACGTGTTATTAGCGGCTTTTTTAGTCTTCCAAAAATTTCGAAAAAAAAGGGGGTGGGTTAGACTATGTATCACAAAGATGCGGTTCCAACACAGTTCTAACCACAAGGCCTCCACAGTATTACTCAGCCAGCCGGGTCAACACCCAAAAATCAAAAATTATAAACCCAAAGCACTTCTTACTTTTTTTAGTATTTATTTCAGAGTCCCGCATATTTTAATCACAACTTTTCCAAATCACTTCATATATTATTCATTTAAGGTTTGCTTTTTACATGGCATATTTTCTCCGGTTTAATATTGTCACTGTTTTAACTTTTCTTCATATATTGCTGCTTGTTTAGAATACACAATACATATTCTACTCTGTCTTGGTAATTTCTGAGAGAGGTTTATATCAGGGTGGGTACTCACAGTCTGCCCTCATTGAGTAAGGGCCTTCAGTACCGGTAGGTACTATTCCCATAACTCCAGTTGGGGCTTGGTAGGGGCCTTATAGTTGGGGCTTGGTATTTTCGAATACCTGATGACTTCAGAATCGAATCTGATTACTTGGAGGATCCTCCAACTCTAATAAAGTTACTGACAACTTATCATTTGGTTCGCTGAATGGTCACACGCAATAAGAAACATGTTTCATCAATAATCCACTAGGGAGGTAGTAGTCTTACGTCAGAATTCGAGATGCATGTTTCGGACTGGCGCAAAGAATTAAAAAAAAAACGGGATCAAAACTTCTTGACGAGACATGGCTTTATCTCGAGCATTACAGGACTAGAAAATTCGAAATGTAATCTAAATTGATAGATATAATCGTGTTAGAAGCAAAATTTGATTCTAACCTGTGCATTAATTACTATGTTTTCTGTATATTCCATACCATCCCCGCGGACTAGCAGTCTGTTAAGGTTAAAAAAGTATGCCCTCACCAGCTTACCTCATTTATGAGAGAGATCCTAGAATCTGCTGCATTTTAAGAAAGGCGAAATTGAAGATTCAAATATTTCTACAAAAATATCTATTACAAAATTTTCAAAAATATAAAAAGATGGAAGAAATATTTGATAATAAAATATAATTCACTAGTAGTAATGTATTTAAAGCAACTTTAGGTGTTGCCTTATAGCATTATATAGAATTTCCTTCCCGAACTCTAGGATAAATTTGATCTGCATAAAAGATAAATTTTACATACAGGAAAGTACACAACCATAAAAGATTGCATATTGCTTTTTTGTGCGCTTGATGTTCATTATGCTTGCACTGCAGAGAGACAATTTATCTAACCTAGTGTCCTTTTTTCAGTTTGCTATAAAGAGGTACGTCCCTTGTGAACATGCTGTTACTGTCAAATTTTTCTATTCGGTACACCAAAACTCCTGATCTTAAGTCGTGTATCAGACAGTATTTTCTAACTCGCAATAAGAGTGCAATTTCAATTTTGTTATGAAGTCAGTTCTCAATATATCTTAACCAGGTTTGTTGTTTTTTAATCAGTAATTGTTTAGGTTTGAGTATTTTTACTCTAGCTAATGGTAAATCACCTTTGCAATTTACAATTTTCTAGAGACTTTATGGACACCCACTACATTCCTTCGCTGTCTCAAACAGAAGCCCTTGACACTGTAGTGGTCATCTGTTATTGTTAGATTAATATCTTATTTTCTGAGTGAGTGCACAATATCTTGCTTTGAGCGAATTTCCTTAAAAATGAGCTTCTTACATCTACACACAATGCACCAGACCTTTCTGCGACCAATACACATTTTCTGCAATGAAATAACGTTTAACCCCTACCCTAACCACACCCTAAAAAGATAGCGACAGCTGCCGAACAGCAGTAGAATATAGAGAAAGCCAAGCATGAGCCATAGATGAATGCTGAAATGTAGGAATGTAAATACAGACCTGATGACTATGCTACCAATTGCGGTAAAAATGAAAATATTTCAAGCAATGCCGAAATAGAGTCAAATTATAAGAGGTTACAGACTATAAAATATCAATTTTTAGACTTCGAATAAAAAATATTGATACGGTTTGCAATATCTAATCTACCACAACGTATAACCTGCCTTGTGGGAATGTGAGGCTCTGTACCTAGACTTCACAACTTGAAAATGGAATGTACCAGGTGATCATAAATCCCATTAAAATGATGGTATGAAGCCAATTATCAATATATCTTAACCAGGTTTATTTATTCCTAATCAGCGTTTATTTGAGTATGTGCTTCATTTAACGAAACAGGGGCCAACAAACTATATAAGGTAGCAATGAAATTTTTTAGCACTTTGAAGACTTTTATGACTACCCTGATACTTTATTTGGAATGGAATTGAGCTACCAGACCATATGGAAAATTGAATGTAGTCAATTTCCATAGACATTTCTAGAATTCTGATAAATACCAAATCCTAATCATTTCCAAGTTGTTGCCCCTCTTGTGCGACTTAGGTCCCTGCCTCTTGCCCCGGGACCCATCATACCCCTACTCCTGGAGTCCCGAATATCACTAGAGGGCCCTCCAGTGTCCCCTTGTTGAGCTAGTTCTTCATCGTAGAGAAGATCAAAGTGCCCGTAACCTTCTTTGGGGGGTACTTTATTCCATTTTACATCAGGGGCTTCCCCACCAGGCATGACGATGTTTAAAATATCGTTAATTAAATTGTATTTCATGATTCTGTCATTCGCTGTGGTCGATGTGAGAGAAGGGGATGCGTTGACCTGGAAGAAAGGGATTTTGAGAGAATCTATTTGGCATAAGAGTTCAATAGCATGCTTTTTTGGTTAGCAAGATGATATAGTTTCCCGACTGGCAACCTTTGAGTTTGACATGGGTTCAATAAAAGGTCAGAGATGTTTGAAAGTCATAAATATTCGCTTTCCTCAATTTCTCAGGTTTATATAATAGGTTTATCAATGTTTTGGCCTCTTGGGTCAAAGCCCCAAATTGTTAACTTGTGTGTTCTCATTTCGATTTTGTCCAGGTGATTGTCATCCTGGGATAACTGTGCTTTAATTCTATTTCCCACTCTTTAAACTGACCAATGACAGCACAGCGTGATGGTATGGCATTGTTGGTCAATCCACTCCGGGTATAAATACTGCCATGCTGGTCTCCAGAGGTCATTTAGTACTTTGGTATAGCAGAAGCAACATGTATCTTATGTCTGACTTTATATTCTGTTATTTGTGGTGACAATTGAACTGTTTAGGTTTAGTATTGCTTGTGTTCAATAAAACATTAATTCACCGCAGTAAATATAAATTTAGTTATTTTCATACTAACCTCAATAAGCCAAGGTTTTAACTTGTCATCAATAATAATATCGTAGCCATAGCACTCAAAGCAATGTCGATCATTTGCCATTGATCCAGAGACCGCTTTCAATGAACATACAGTCAACCAGTTAATTTCATCGAAAAGTTTGTCCGTAACGGCTTTCCCTCGAGTACTTTCCAAGAAGTGTCGAAGGTTGCTGGAAAGGAGTAACTGAATTATAACTTGATTCATGTTGCACCTTTCCTAACATGTTTTCCAATAGACCAGTGGATCTCAATGTTTTCAAGCTGTGCCCCCTTTTTAGAATTTGTCAAGTCTCGCACCCTGCTCCAATAATAACTACCAGTAGCTAACAATAACCTACACACAACAGGTAGTAAGGCGATGTTTAAAAGACATGGATGGAACGAAAATAATGAAATAAATGATAAGTTTTGAAATGTAAATATCCAAAACAAGGCAGGGAAGATCAAATCTAGCAAATATATTTTTTTAAATAGCTTGAAACCCCCTCAAGAAATTGTCTACGCCCCTGTTTTAGGGCGGGTCCCACCGTTTGAGAACCACTGCAAAAGATAACACTTACAGCCACTGATAAGGAAATTATCTAATAATTATGGAATGACTGAAATATTAATGGTTGGCATTACCTAATGCAGGGTGGTCCAAACCCAGGCCCGCGGGCCACATGTGGCCCGCGTCGCATTCAGAATTGAAATAAAAAAATCAAGAATCAAATCCGAATAATTGATTGGAGCTGCCAATCTTGGACCACCCTGACCTTTTGAATCTATAGCACAGACATATTGACAACAACTCAACTTAAAATGCTGAGAAACGGAAATTTGATATCAAGAAACTTTGGCGTACTTCTGACTTAACTGTTTGTTTGAAATGATTAGTCAATATAATGCTTTTCGGGTTACTACTAAAAAATTTTGACTCCGATCAGCATCATAATAAATCTGTCATTTCAACATTGGTGAATTAAAAATTCCATTGTTGACCCAATTTCAGTAAATACATCTTATACATGCCAAACCAAATCTGACAAAAGGAACTGAACTGCGCTCCTGTAGTATTCGTACCAAGATGGCACACAACCTGCTAACCCTAACCTGGTACACATACTATGTTCAGGTTGTGCGCCATTTTGGTACAAATACTACAGCAACACCAATAAAACAAAGCTACGTCTGACTCCGCACCCCTGGACGCTGCATATGAATCTCTACCATTCCAAGCAGAACCAAGAATGTCAAACTAAATCTATTTGCCACTAGATTTAATAACATCGAACAAAACTGAACGCTACCTTATAGTCCATTTCCCACCATGGATCGGATTGTACTCATCTCCATGTTTTTGTATTGAAACATTTGTTAAATGTACAAACATATTGTCTAATTCATTTGTACTCTGAGTGTATTTCACTGTGCAAAACCGACAGAAGCCGAGTCGATACATGTAGCATTTAAGAGGCCGATATGAAGTCACAAGAACGTACCTAGAAAAGAAGTAGGCCTATATTAAAATTTAATGGGGGCTAGTCTTCGTCTAGTTTTTATATCCTCTATACAAATATATATAGGCATATTATATACAGGGTGTCCGATTTAGGAGTGTTTATGGGGCTCCCGAAGTATGCCAACCAAGATGGCGGTCATCGAAATGTAATATGTGTACTAGGTTAGGGTTAGGCCATACTTTTAGGTATAAATACTACAGGAGGCTCTTGGCTAGTCTTCGAACTGATAATAGGACTAAAATAAGGAAAATTGGAAAAAAATTATGGCCTAACCCTAACCTGTTACCCATGTTACGTTCCGATGTCCGCCATCTTGGTTCGCATACTTCGGGAGCACCCAAATATATATAGGCATATTATATACAGGGTGTCCAATTTCATAGTAAGTAATAACAATTAAAAATATCTTTTTCTATGTTTATTAGTTCATATTATGCTTGCGGTTCTCATTTATCATAAAATACAATTTATTTAAACTTACAATTGTTATTACTATGAAATTAGGAGGAATATTTTGGAACCCTGTATATATACATTTACCGTCAGATTAACCATCGAGTGCTCAGCATAAACAACCACTGATAGATAGGCTAATAAGCTACTATCGTTTTCGTATTGCCTTACAAATAATATAATGAGTGGAGTGGTGAGCGTACATTGTTAAGTATATCACCAGGCCAACCGACATTCTCCCCAAAGTTATGGAGTATTCCAATAGAAAAAAAATAATTTCAAGAAATGTTGAGTCATATTTATATGTAAAACAGATACCAAGAAATCCATGATGAATTAAATTCAGTTAGGACAGGATTTACATTTTACATATTTATTCCAGGTGAGAGGGAAGCCATCCAGCTACCAGTCCATTTACAGTATGGGATTAGTCAGCTAATTATTTGGTTTCGAATGCATGATGATGGAGGAAACCTGAACTGACCAGCGGTTATGTAAACCACCTCAGAGCGAGGGGGAGTCCAGCAATCTTCACACACATAACTATCTCGCATGGGATTCGAACCTGCGAATCACCGCAGGGTAATCAGACATGCGGTGCCGAGTGTATTCCTAACGCTTCACACGATGCACCACACTGCCGAGCCTTAATTCTATCTATTTGTAACAGTCACTTACATTCTCAGGTCAAACTTTTTTCCACCAATCAGCAACGGATTATCGATATATCTTGATATCACATACGCATCTCTAGCTGATGGTGGAGCAAAATTAGCGGCTCGACTATCACGAGACCATTTCTTGATTTGAGACAATTTGTTGATCAGGAAAATTCCGATACCGCGTGCCTGAAAAGTTTAAGTAATATTCGTTAATGAGTTCACACATTTACTCCCAACAAGGATTTAGACCAGCTGTTCTTAAACGATGAGGCACGTCCCACGAGGGGGCGTGTAGATAATTTCTTAAAAGAGCGTGAAGCTAATAAAAAACAAATATATTTGTTAGATTTATTTTACCTGCCTTATAATTATTTACATTTATTTTTTTATGGATATTTACGCTCCATCTATGTATTTTATCAACATACTTTCGCCTTACTATCCTGTCATTACATCGATTTTAATCGGTAAGTATGTTGATAGGTATTTGTCTGTTAGATGCATGCAATATCTCACGAAAGCAAGATTGAATCTGCTCCAGATTTTGCATGTGCATTCATCATATGTCGTACCAGAAGCCTATTGATTTTGGATGAATTAAGTCGTATAATTAGCGAGTTATTAATTAATTAGTGATGGGACACAAGGTGTCACTATGGAGTAAGAGCGCTGTTTTGGGGGATCCCCTAACTTTCAATCGATAAGTCTTCGGTCTCTGACCGATATTCTCGTTCTTAGCTTATTGTTAGCTAGTTGTTTTTGAGATAGCAGCTCAAAAAGTTTGAGAACCACGGCTCTAGACAGAACAATAATACACAAGTAGTTTTTTATTTTTGGAACAGCTATTCTGTTCGGCATTGCCTACCGAATTTTGTGAACCCTGGGTTAGGAGGAATGGGGATTAAAAATGGGGGAATTCTAAAATTTATCTGGATATGAATTCCAACATATTTGGGATCTTGAGCGATGCAGGAAGTAAACAAATTATTTGAAAATAAAATCAAAGCCTGGGTTTTACACCTTTTTCAAGCGATTTATATCCAATCTCGATATAGCCAATAATGAGTGTTGGGTTCTGAGCCATTTGAATATGTGTCAATCAGTATTTTAAGTCTCACTAGAAGTCAGTTGATAACAAGTCTGAGTCACTCTTATTATATTTGCATGGCTCAAGTACGATCCTATCTTTGATAAATTGTGAATTGAGTGTCATAAACACTGTCAATAACTGTCACGATCATGGTTACAAACTCGACAATAAACACTCCTTACTTTTCCACATGGTTTCATAATCCAAGTACTTGACGGATTCTTTCTAAATTCTTCGACAAATAAGTTGTAATCAGCAGGAAGAAGGAAAGTAACAGGAATGAAATCTAGATGGATATACCGACCAGAATCATCCTGAAATATTTATAATTTATATTGAGGCTGTTTAAAATTCATCTACTCACAGAAATAGAATAGCCATACTTGGGTTCACAGTTGAATTTCATTCTAAATAATTTTGTGCAAAAGATAAGGATGAATAAAGATGAAAATGGACAGTTGTGGGATTTTCATATTCCCCTCGGGGAAAAGTCAATAAGACGGCTCAATTATATGGCAAATCACTGCCTCTCATTCGGTTACCAGTCCATGTCGAGTATGGGATTAGTTAGCCAGTTATTTGTTTCAAATGCATGAACTTGATGATGGAGGAAATCATAATTGATCAGCTTTTACGTAGTCCGAAAGCAAAAAGTCCAGCAATCCTCTACCGCACAATTATTTCTCACAGGATTCAGATCTGCAAACCTCACAGGGAAATCAGAGGTGTGATAGCAAATCAATATCAAGAATTTCTGAATAAGCATGTCAATCTAGAATACCAGAAATAAGAAAAAACAGAAGAATTCAGAATAATACTTAAAAATTTACTTTTTCAGCCAACAAGCTCCCTTCCTTGTCCAATTCCTTGCGATATCGTTTGATATTTTTCACCATGAGATCTTTCCGAGTAAGTTCATAATGATTTGGGAAATGATTGATAATTTGATCATCTGACAGCCTGGATAAAAAAGTGAAATCAAACAAAATGTCGATGGATGGATCGATGGAAATTTGGGATCTAATATGTTCAAATTTAATCTACCTCATGAATTAATATTGAACAATATCAATCAATCAATCATTTAAATCGTTACTCTGACATAAAAACAAAACAACACAAAAACTGGACAAACAAACAAAATGCAGAGAAGACTGGAAGGCGAGCATACATTAAAACAAGAGAGCTATGCTAAAATATATGGACACGTAGAGTCACATAATTTTGATGACGTCATAGCGAAAAAAAAAGCAATAGCCTTCTGGAGAAAATTTTTATCTTCAACCGCTGAAAATTTCAAAGCAATCGGTCCAGTATTCGAAGAGAAAAGCGACTTTTTAAAAACGTGTCAAAGAACAACAACAACAACATAATATTGAAACGATCGTTATGTTCACTACGTGTCCAATAAAGTTGAAAAACGTAAAAGTACGCACCCTCCAACCATCTGTGTCTACATATTATAATGGGATATTTTAACTAGTATCAGAGTAACGTTTCATTAATTTCCAGTGGTAGAGGAGTTTAGATCGCGTTAGAACAGCGTTTCCCAAACCAGGGCTCCATGGCCACCCCAAAGGGGTCAACAAAGCATTGGAGGGGGGACACAATGCTAGGCGCCAAACACATTTTACTTTTCTCTTTACATGAAAATCCTCGTTCTTCCTAGTTTCATTGCTTGGTGATTTTATCTCAGTTTTCTTTCACTTTGTTCAGCATGAATTATTTGAACATAACAGGATTTGGAATCTATTAATCAAAACATCACTATACATGCCACTCAAATGATAAATAAGGGGGGCTATGCGTGCTAAAAGCCGCTGAAATGAGTCCAAGTTGAGAACCACTACGCTAGGATAAACTGGTACCTATATCCAGTTTCAAGGCTGAAGATATTTCTTGTCGTATTGACATTCGTCCAGTAAAAATTCCAGTCTTCATCAGCTGAAACCTGAAATAAGAATTCCATATAAACAGCTTCTTAATAGCTTAATGTCAATGGTCTTCCTCGCTTTATTATTGAGTTTATTTGTGAACTCTGGTATAGGATACTTCAGTAATTCAGTGTTTAAAATAGAATCATAGTACAGTAGTAAGTGCATAAAATTTCGGGGTCTTGTGTAGTATTGTACTTAACGTACTTCTAGTGGGCGTAGCATAACAATTTTTTCACATGCCAATCCTAACTCTCATCCAAAAATTACGTTACTACGACGTCACAATAAAGTTTTAGAGCTTGCCAAAGTATACCTACGATCGCTCAAAATGGCATCTGCGCTGATGATAAAGAACCGACTAATGCCAGTGATCTCTATTATATCAAAATCGTTGTGACGAGAAAATTAGCTTGCTCGATTTCGGGAAATCGTCGACGCGTCTTGGATGACAGTTCGCATAGTTTGAAGAGGCCCTATTACGTCACCGTGACCAAATTTTTCAACAACAGGTGGTCAGTTAGGATTAACAGTCAGGTGGGAGTTCTGGAGTTAGGATTAACATATGCAAAAACTGTGCTGCTTCGTCCACTAGAAGTAGGATAGGTGCGGTACGAAACTACACTCTTGACACTGGACCCTTTTGCGCCAGTAATTACAGAATTAACAGCACTAATAAATTGATTGCACATGCTTATGTCTGTATGCAGTGGTGGAATTCAGCCGGTTCGCACCGGTTCTATAGAACCCTCTCACGAAATTTTATGAGATCAGCGAACCAGTTGGCATTACTGGTTACTGTCAATGTTCTGTTTGCAATAGTACCGGCTGAAAAATATGACTTTTGTGAAGGAACCGGCTGACAAAATATTTGAATACCACCAATGTCTGTATGTGCAGTGAAACGTGCCATACAGTACCGGTACTATTGCATTACCTACGATTGTAATTTAAAAAAAAATCCACTCCTGAATAGAATTATTTTGAATTCCAAACCAAGCTAATTTATATAAGCCTACTCACCTGCGACCAACCTCGCTTCTCAAAATTATTAACAAGAACGGACTTTTCCATGTCTGTAGCATATTTTACTTTTCCGGACATTTTTATAGTCCTATTTTAGCAAAATTCAACAAAATACTTCCAGGCCCCAACAGATTAATGTGCCGACTGCCGAGTTAAACTCACTCATGCGCGAAAGCGTCAGTTCGCGATAGTAACGAACAGTTGCCGAGTGGCCCAAGTAAATATGGCGCTGCGTATTGAAATATTTCATGTAATAGTAAATGCTTCAATCTACATTTCATAGTTTCAAATAAGTGAGAAAATACATGGTTCTTATTTTAAAATTTTCTACGTTAATTTTCGACACATGTTTTGATGCTGCAAATACTGCGTTGTAGTTTTTCATTTAAAAGGAAAAGATCAAGCAAAAATATTTGCGTTGAAAGTTGTACCGATCGTGGGTATGTACTACCAAAGTGGAAAGCACTGAACTGAAATTAAGCATTCTAGCATTCCACACCATAGACTTCAACCCTTTCCGACTGAACTTTGAAACCGTAATACGACAACGACAAGTAAAGCATCAGATAGCACATTGGGAACCAATGAAATCTTCAAAGCATAAAATAATATAATAAGTATAAGTTTATTTCGACTCCATAATCAGCAAAACAATAAAATGAATGCTAAAAATAAATAAATAAAAACTGATTATGAAATCAGGAGAGCGAACAAAACCTTAGATAAGGTTTAAAACGTACAGAATGTATATAAGATGGAAGGTTTTGCCAAGAACATGTGGTACGTGTTCACTCACCTAAAATAATTGAAATATTTCACACACGCTCACACGCACCCACACACACAACCATATAGAAGTTATTAAGTAAAGGGAACATGAAAAATTACATACTGGTAGTTAATAAAAAATAAATAAATAAAAATTACTTGCCAAACCGAGTTAAAAACCGAGTATTATTGGAGACATTCCAAATGGAAAAGTCAAACGAAGAAGCGTGGTAGAGAAGACAGAGTCCTCTTGTATCTGAAGTAAGTTAAATGATAAATACCACAATTACTTTAGTTGAATTTATTAAGAATTATTAAATCCAATTTTTAATCCTTAGGTATGCTTGAAATCCCAAATATCAGGCACGAGCATGAACGGGTAGGGCAAGGCCAGTGGTGGTATTCAGCCGGTTCTATAGAACCGTCTGACGGAATTTTATAAGATCAGCGAACCGGTTAGCATTACTGGTTACTGTCAATGTTCTGTTTGTATCAGAACCGGCTGAAAAATATGACTTTTGTGAAAGAATCGGCTGACAAAAAAAAATGAATCCCACCACTGGGCAAGGCGAAATAGCGAGCAAGCCCATATTTACTCAGATAGAAGATGATATCCGAAGTGTTGCATCTCCACGAAAATGAGGGCTAAATTTTCTCCCAAATAAATTCCCTGAAGCAATTTTCCGCCAAATCTTTTACAACTGTATGGAGATGGTAAACAACCCAGCTCTACACATCGAAATAAAATGGTACGAACTACGAATAATGTCTTAATGTAATTTTAAAAAAATCTGGAGACCCCAATTCGGCCTGATATTTGCTATTCAAACAGCTAATCCCAACAAAAAAGAGAATACTATTTTAAACAGGCGATGGCCGCAAAACCAAATAAAGAAACCTGGTTGGTAACACAAATACCAACGGTAGACTTGACGAAAATGGCGAACAAGCTCAAATTAACAATGGAAGATCGTATAAGATCTCCGGTAAAGAAAACATACAACTTACATAAACATACAAGTTTTAAGTGAATTTGTATTATTACGAGATTCGTAATATTCTAGACTCTAGAGAAATAATTATGAAAACTGCAGCGTAATCAAAAATGACACATAAAAACACTCAATATATCAGAAACTTGGTACATAATTATGTGAAGCAAATTTGGACCCGCAAAGTTCATTCATATAAAATAACGTTTCACGCCTTTTGTTATGAAGAATTATTTGTATCAATTGTAGGTATTCTCAGTATCTGCACATCTAAATTTATATTCGAAAACCGCCATCTCTGGAAGATTTTCTACGATCACTAACGAAAAATGCTGTGGAAAAATTATTTTCACAGAATTCTTGAGAGAGGACAAGTTTGCAGGCATGCTGGTCGAAGTATGCTGGTTTTAAGTGATCGATTATATTCCATTAGGCTTTGAAGTTGAACCCGTTCCAATCGTCGAGCAGGTTTGCGTTGAAGGTGTTCATAGTTCAGTGCTTTCCCATTTAGCAGTCTTTTTGAACAGAAAGGATTAGTTTGAGGGCGTCACTACCATGGATTCGTCAGATACTGTAATCTGCAAACGAGTGACAAATTGCTACAACAGTCGTCAACATTTGCTCGGTTTTCCCTTTGATAAACAACTCCGTAAAGCAGTTGCACAGAAGACAGACTTTTCCCCTAATGTTCTGCATAAATTTTATTGCGAAAAGTGCCGTATAATTTTTCGTGTTTATGTGGTTCATGCGTTCTACAGCAGCTTCAATTATGAACTGTCACTTCACTGATTTTCAAATTGTACTGTTTCGTCGCCTTGGACTTTTAAATATTGTCAATTGTGTTTGTTGTGCTAGCTATTTTTGTTTATTACTTTTTGTAAGGTATATTTGACTGTCATGTATTTCCGATTGTAAACCTTTTCCCTTGTCCTCATATTCGATTATTAGGGGGTTTACTCATTTTAAATTGCTTAAAAATTTTTGCCCGATTTTGAATGCGTTCACTGTTTCGTGTGCTTGTATTTTTTGTTGGGTGATAGCGCATCTGTACATTTTTAAATTTATGCCGCCTCCCAAGTAATTTTTTTTTTTACTTTTTGTGTCAGATGAGATTTTTGTGCTAAAGAACCGAAATAAAATGATTGATTGTAATTATCATTGACATTTCAAAACAAAGACACCGTAATAACTATAATGACTTCTGCTCAATTTTGGAACACCCAGCATCGTGACTCAGGGTGTCATACTCGTTATATACAAAAACTAGGATGACATCCAAAGTAAGCAGGAGACATCGAGAGAGCTGCAGAAGTCATCTTTCTGCTCAGATATAGATCAGGCTATTTGAACGCTGTAATAAATAAAGGCTGGTTTTCATATTTATTGCTGCAAAAACTTGCAACTGCAGGAATTGGAAAGTTCTGCGCAGTTTGACATTCAGCAAACTACCAAACAAAATATTTCAATTTTGAAATTTATTCGAAATAGTGTTTGAGAGATCATACTCGTAAACATGATTATATACATGAAAAAAGTTTATTTTTGGATGCATCGAAAATCAAGGTCAGACCATGGCCAGCAGATGCCAATACTTTTGCGTCATCAATATTACCTTTACATTCCATGATTCGACAGAATTCATTTACCATAAACCAGTGCTCTTCAAACTTTTTGGTATTGTGGAACCCCTGATATAATTTTTCGCTTTTCGTGGAACCTCAATTAACAAAACTAAAAAAAAATTCTATCTTTGGCAATTGAATTACATTTGGTTCGCTTCGGAGGAGCAGGTGCCGCTTTTGCATTTGAACTTCTTTGCTCATTGCCGTCCTAACCTTCAACGTTGTTATTATTTCGCCTCACATAAGAAAATACAATATTTTGCTTCATCTGTATTGAATAAATATCAAAAAGTTGAGTTCCACACTATCGTTACTATATTCCAACAAAATCTGAACAACATCTCTAGTTTGTAGTATATACTATATACTCTCTCTAGTGTCGAGCAATATCTTTGAACATCGTGTAACTATGGTGCAACAATAGCGTTCTTGTTAGTTGCATAACAATGACTAAAGTGACGGAACAACCGAAAATATCTCTGTTTTGTCTATTAATTAACTGCACTGTGCCTAAACCTCCTGTTTAACGAACTGGCCTACTTGACTGGCCTGAGTTTGAACGAGACACGGTGGTCTAAGAATATTTATAATGACGCATCAACATGCTGAAAGCAAGAAATGATTTCCCCTGAAAAAAAAAAAAAAAAAAAACGCGGAACCCCTAAGGATCCCTATAAACTCAGGGAACCCCACTGCATGTATTGCAGGGAACCCCTGTTGAAGAGCACTGCCATAAACCCATTCTCGTGCCTGTACTAAGATATCATACCGCGAAGATAAAGTGTCCGCTGTGGGACCAAGCCTGAAAAATGGAGATCCTTGCTGAGAAGGCAATTCAGCTCTTTGTAGTAATACATTAATTGGCTGTTAAGGTTTTCTGTACACTGTATCATAATTCCTTAACATTCTCTTTGAATTAAATATCCAACAATAAAACTCAGTAAGTCTAGGCTACCTACACAAACGGACAGTGCACTATTCTCTAAGACTGTGACGCAACAAAGATAAAAAATGTGACAGCCACCAAGGTTGTACAATGCCGATTCGCTGCACACCGAAAGTGACGGTCTGTGGGAATCGACGGAAAATGTCGCCTGCAGCAAGATTTTACGTTGGGAATCCAAGTCTACATACATATAGCGTCAATAAATTGAATTGTCGAAGACGCAAATAACCATTTTGGATATCAAATATGTTGCGTTCTGAATCTGAGTAGGAGTAGCTTATTTGAGATTAACCATGCCCTAATACAGCAAAGTTGTCAAAATCTTTTTCGCAGTTCCATACCTCTCCGTACATATAAACAAATAGATTACACAAAAGGTTTTAATGTGTTGAAGCTATAACAGAATTCATTTTACTAAAGACCGTGCAAAAACATCTCGTTTCCAGCATGAGGGTTTGGCAGTCAACGTCGTGTGACATTATCTCAAAATTGATGCTGTGTAAAACAGTCTCCGAGATTATAAGTGTGGCTCTCTGCGTTCATCGAATCCAATGGTCAATATATAATCGTTATTGGTTTGCGGGGTGAAGCAGATTTGCGGGTATTTTATTCAGGATTTGCTAAGAGCACAGCCTATCCTGTTGAGTAGTACAATGCATTAGCTTCACAAGTATCTAAGGAAGATTTTGCAGGATTAAGTAACACCTACATTGCACTAGATTCCTCGTTTCTGTTTCTTCGGCTTTACATTGCTGGTTTTATATATTGGTATTGATAAACTCGAGAAAGGTAGTGTATCGTCTTTCTCATAATTGGTCGGGGTAGTCCATACGGATATTATCTTCATAGACGTACGAAATTCCGTGGGTTTTGAATGTTGAAATCGTTTGTCAGGAATCTGGAGCATAATTAAATATATTACAAAGACCATTTAAGAAAATTCTTTTAATTAATTAAGATGTGAACCAAGATTTTTTCCATTATTATTTGTAAAAATAAGTTTTCCAAAGTATCCTGGGTTAGCCTTATTTCTCTGAATCATAAAACTTTTGATGTGAAACACTGCACGTCCTTTTATCCAGTCCTAACAAATTTCATCTTTTCCTGGTATTGATAAACTCGAGCAAAGGTGGCGTGTCGTTATTTTCATGAAAGGTCGAAATGGTCTTGAATTGGGACACGGAAATAAAC